TTTCCCTCTGCCGTGTCCCTGCCATGCTGCGGGGTGGCGGGTGGCTATGGGGTGCTGTGCAGAGCCAGGGTGCTCCTGGGAAGAGGGGCGCAAAACCGGGGATCTCCCAAAGCCCAGCCCACCCAGAGGTGCCCAGCACCCATGACTGCTGCCGTACCATGCTGTGCCATGCCGTGCCTGTGGGACACATAGGTGGGGTGCCAGGAGGTGACTTGCCATGGGGAGGAGGAGACGGGAAGCCCTCTTTCTCCCAGGCTGAGGGGTAGGTGCTGGGGGCGATGGGCCAGGTGCTGGGGGTGATGCTGGTCTGTCCCCCGCAGACTGGCGGGAGTACGATGGCCGGGCTCCACGGCGAAGGGGACAAACTGAAGCTCTGGACCATCTTCTGGGCCAGGTGAAGACTGTCCACCAGCACTGCGTTTGCCATGGTGAGTGTACAGCGCTGCGGGGAGACCGGGGTGAGGGATCCAGCCGAGCCGCCCAGGGTTGTGACGTGGTCTGGGGGGCTGGGGTGGCACCAGGAGTGGGTCTATCCCATGGATGAGCATAGCAGGGAGACAGCTCAGGCAGTGGAGGTCTTGACAGAGCCTTCCCACTGGGTTGGCATGCCGTGCCACAGTCTGCTGGCGCAGTCCTTCATCTCCTGCTGCAGCATCCTCTGCTCTCTGCTCCCCAGAGCCCTGCAAGAACCAGCCCCAGAGCAGGAAACATTCAGTCTCCAAGAGCCTCAAGCACCTCTTCCACCCCGGCAGCAAGTTTCTCAAGACACTGAAGCGGTGAGAGGCTGATATGCGGGGGTGGTGGAGAGCCCGTCTCCTGGCGGGGAGATAGGGCTGCCTGTCCTGGGCATGGCCGGGAGCTGCGTGCACAAGCCAGGGACTGGGGGGTGCTCAGAGGTGGGTCCTTGCCTGGAGCGAGCTGGTGGTGTCAGTGGAGATGAGTCCCATTGCCCAGAAATCAGATGTTTCTCCTTGGTGTTTCCATTTGGACTGGCCAAGCTGCGCCCAGATCCCTGCACCATCTCCGAGCATCACCCAACACCCGACCCCCCCCCCCCCCCCACCTTCACACGGGGCCTCCAGGCACCCCAGCGCGTCTCCTGCACAGGCCTGGCCTCATCGCCCTCCCTTGTGCAGGCCGGGGCATTGGCCATGGCATCAGCTGTGGCATTGGCCAGGCTCGCCTTGCTGGCAACGCTGGCTCCTGTACTGGCCGTGTGCCTCTTCTGCCATGGGCTGTTGGAGAGGATCTGAGACCTCGGGCAGGGCATCTCCTCCGCCCTTGGGAGAGAGACCCTTTGGGAAATGAAGCTGGCAGCCGGAGGTGACACTGAAGTCTGTCTTCCCTTCCATGCAGGGGCCTCTACCTGACAGCCATCTTCTACAAGGACGACAACATCCTGGTGACCCATGAAGACCAGATCCCTGTGGTGGAGATTGATGACACCTACTCCTGCCTGCTCATGCAGGATTTTCTCTGGTTCACCAAGGTGGGTGGCCCAGGGACCCTGTGCTGTGTGCTGGGGCATGGCAGCAGTGTGTCTCCTGACACATTTCTGTCTGCCTGGCCACCACCCCAGATGCTGCTGAGATGATGGCCACCACGATCTGCAGAGCGCCTTCATTGCAGCACGTTCCCCGGTGCTGCCGGTGCAGGCAGCTGCGCCCATCGTGCGTGGGGCGCTGCAGGGCTCTCGCCGGGGCAGGCTGGGTCTGATCCGGGGCTGGGAGCAGTGTCAGGGACACCCCATGTGCACAAAGTGAGCACGAGCTACTTCAGCTGCTCGCACCAGACGACACAATATCTGGTGTCTCCTGGGCTTCCCATCGTTGCTTCTGGGACCTCTGCTGTGTCTCTGCCCTCCTGCACTCCATGGGGCAGAGCGATGCCAAGAGCTGGTTGCAGCCATGCGGGCATCGTGCACCGCTGCTGCCTTCAGCTCCCGCTCCGCCCCGGGCGCTGGGGCTTGGCAGCGCAGGCTCGCTGCTCACCGGGGTTCAACATGGACCGAGAAACCACCAGGGAACAGCATTTCCACCTCAGGCCCTGGAAGCCCAAAGGTGGGCGATGGACCAGCACCACGCTGGGCAGGCTGCGTGCCGCGATGGGTGGGTGATGGACCAATGCCGCGCTGGGCAGGCTGCGTGCCGTGACGGGTGGGCGCTGCCTCTCCGCAGGGATGCCAG